GAGCAGGGAGCCCGATGCGGGACTCGATCCCAGGACTCCAGGATCATGACCTGAGCCGAAGGCAGTCGCTTAACCAACTGAGCCACCCAGGAGCCCCTAGAGTTTTAATTTTTTACAATGAGTATGTATTACTGTTGTAATTAGAAATAGTTTTTATTTTTTATTTATTTTTAAAGATTTTATTTATTTATTTGACAGAGAGAGACACAGCAAGAGAGGGAACACAAGCAGGGGGAGTGGGAGAGGGAGTAGCAGGCTTCCCACCAAGCAAGGAGCCCAACGTGGGGATCAATCCCAGGACCCTGAGATCATGACCTGAGCCGAAGGCAGATGCTTAACAATTGAGCCACCCAGGCACCCCAGAAATAATTTTTAGAAAGAAATGTTGAGAGAGACAGACAGGAATAAAATTCCCTAAGTTAAACAGGCCAAGAAAATTCTCATGCACAGTCTATTAATTCAATTCTTTTTTGGTATTATTTTCAGAACACAGCAGGAGGCCAGGGGGCTGGGGGACAGTAGACGGGGTTGGCAGGAAGCATGATTTCAGAGTCTGAGGCAGGTTGTACATGCAGGGGTGCAGTGGCTCAGGAATCCGACCCGGCCTGGAAAAGCTGCTTTCTCGACCAGCACCATGTGTTCTGTGATATGAAGACCTCCCCCCTCTTCCAGAGCAAAGCATCTGAGTAGCACACCTTCTCCTCTTGCACGCCATGCTTGGTTTATTCCACAGATGGTGATAAGAAACAAGAAGAGATGAAGGGACTTGCCCAGGTGAGGGAACAATACTGCCCCATGTCACTATAGTTTTTAAAATGCTTTCAAATTCAGTTTGAACAGATCCCATCACCATGCTGTGAGGGGAGCAGGACTGCGCCCGTTTTATAGGTGAGCGAGGGAGGCTCCCACAGGTAGAGAAACTTGCCCAACTCAGGAGTCCTTGACCAGTTCTTTCCTTACTACAACTTTCTCTTTCCCTACCTCCCCAATCTGTTCTTTTTTCATCTATATATACCCAGCCTAATCCACTTGTCTGGGCACTGTGCAACCCGTCATCGACCCAATATTCATTCACCTAGTGTGGGTTAGGCACTGTGCCTGGTGCTGGGGACATAGTCAAAGGCCCTGTGCTTGTGGGACTCACAGCCTGAAGGAAGAGTCAGACATATGAACAGGAAATTATAATACAGTGTAATAAGAGTAGGTCTAAAACTGAGCTCCTGATGGTCCTTCTATAGTCTTACAGTCTTCCTCATCTTGGTAAGTGGTAATTCCATTCTTCCAACTTTCTAGTTGCTCAGGTGAAAACCTGGAATCATCCTAGATTTCCTTCATGACCCACATTCAGTGTGTCAGCAAATAACACTGTCTCTCCCTTCAAGGTCCATCCAGAACCTGAGCATGTCTTGCCATCTCCATCACTCTATCCAGGCCAACTGCCATTACTGCTCACACAGGTCATTGCAGTAGCCTCTTATGTGGTCTCCCTGCTTCTACCCTTGCCCCCTTTCTGTCTATTATTAATGGATGGAAGCCAGACTGATCTCCTTACAACGTAAGTCAGATCATGCAAGCCTTGCTCAGAACTCTCTGAAGACTTCTCTTCTCAGACTAAGAGCCAGCCTTCGTATTGACCTGCAGAGCCCTGAAGATCTGACTGTTGCCTTCCTCCTCCCTGACCTCATCTCCGGCTGCCTTCCCCCTCACACCCTCTGCTCCCAGGATGCCCTCCTCATAGTCCCTCCAATATACTTGGCATGTTCCCGCATGGGCCTCTGAGCTTGTGGTTTCCTGTACCTGGAGCGTTCTTCGTCCAGATCTAGGAGTGCCCCTCGCCCTATTCCATTCAAGTTCTTACTGGAATGTCACCTGCTCAGTGGTGCCTTTCCTGGCCATCCTTTTTTAACAGAAACACCTCCCCAGCTTCTTCTCTACTTTATCTTTCTTCTTACCACTTATCACATCAGTATCACAGATTTTACTTATTATCTTGCTTGCCGTTTGTCTCCTCTGACTAGTCCCATGAGGGCAGAGATTTCTGTCTCCTGGGCTTACTGCTGCATTCCCAGCACCAAGCCTCTTACAGGTTGTCAGCACACCTTAGGTGAATGAATGAATGGAATGGAAAGAGAGAGAGATATTCAAAGTATCAGGTGAGCACAGAGGAGGCAAAACTTTGGGGTGCAGACTATGAGGTAAGACTTCCTGGATGAGACTATGTCTGACCTGAGTCTTAAAAGATAATGAGGAGTGGACAGGACAAGGGATGGCCCAGGGGTAGGGAGTGGAAGGGACCGGACCCTTCAGGGCTTAGCACAGTGCTGGCGAAGAAATAGGTATTCAGTAAGTATCTATTAAATGAATAAATGGGTGGAGGAGAGGGGAAGCTCTTCTAGGCAGGGAGGGCAGCATGAGCCAAGCAAGGGGTGTGGGGGCCGCGGAAGCAGTTTCACTGCTGGGGCAGGGAAAAGTGCCAGATGAGGCCGAGAGAGGTGAGTTGAGCCAGAGCATGGCGGGCAGGTCTTGTAGTCCATGAGAAAGCATTTGGGCTTGATCCTGAGGCAGCAAGGAGCCACTGAAGGGGTTAGAACAGGGGCAGGAAGGGGCTAACTTGCTTGAGATTAGCATGAATCATCCCGAAGAGGATAGATTTAGTATCAGAGCTGATGTTTCCCATGGCTCTAGTTTGCAGAGAGTAGAGCCGGCAGAAGAGCTGGGCTACCTCACATTGAAAAGCAAACCTAGAGAGCACCAGAGTTCGAAGGCGGGAAGAGAAGCATCCTGAAGGGGCAGTTCTAGGACTCACCTTCTAGCATGCTGAGATTGGCGTTCAGGGCTTCCACCTCACTCGTGATAATGGGACAGAGCTGGCCATAAAAAGAATTTTAAAAAATTGCAGGTTATCACATTGCACTTGAAACCTCTATTTAGGGGCCTAGACCCTGCAAACAAAGGCCTTCTGTTTAGGAGCCATTCTGCCTTTGGTCACCAGGACTTTCTCTGAAATTTGTCGATGCCTATGGGCCCCATGTTCTGTACGTATGGGTGGTGTGTCATTGAATGCTGGCTAAACTTCAGGGCAACCGGGACTACACCCAGTTAGCCCCATGAAAGAATGAGCTCTCGGCCTCTCTTTCCGTGGTGTGACAGGACACGTGCCCGGTGCATCTGGTGTGGTCACCCCTGAGGACCCGCTGCTAGGCCTTTGCCGGCTGGGGACGCCACCGCCTCCCACCTCCTCTGTAGTGGCACCATGCTCTGCTGGAGGAGGTGCAAGCCGGGCCTTCACTCTCCCACTCGGCTGCCTTGAGCGTCCAGTAGTCAGGCATCTGTTTAGATCAGAACCCCTTTCGGAGTTAGAAAAGCAACCTTGACTTGGACTCGAGCTTGTCTGTAGGAAGGAGGAGGCATGCCGACATGGGTGGGCCGCCGTGTGCCAGGCGTGTGCTAAGCACTCGGCGTGGCAGTTACTAGCAGAGGCTTGGGATCCTGGCCACCTCGGGTTGACTTGGCACGTGACTTGTACTCTGTTCTCAGTTTCCTCATTTGCAACATGAGGAGGATAACTGTACCCACTTCATCATGTTGTTGTGAGTAGAAATAGAAGTAATCCATGTAAAATTGCCTGCGCATAGCAAGCATTCAGTAAACCTCAGCTGTCTGTTTTAACCCCATTTTGGTCTCACGACGGTGCTGAGAGGTGGGCACCACTGTCCCCCCTTCACTGATGGGAAAACTGAAGCTTAGAGAACTTTAGCAAGTTGCCAGGAGTCACATAACCAGGACTTAGCATAGATAGTTGTGGTCTGAGCACTCTTTTCTGTTTTCCCGTGGCATAGAGGGAATACTCGAAGCAAAGCGTCCACCGTCTCTGTCCTATACACACTCCCAGCAAACTTAGCTCGTGGCTTCCTGTCAGAGCCCAGAGACCCACGCCTGGTTTCCAGCAGCGGAGCGATGGCGAGCGTGGGGTCCCCGAGCTGACAGTGCTTTCCCTGTCACTCTCTGACACGCAGGTGCACTGGCCCTCCGCCCCTGCCAGGTGAGGGTGGAGAAAGCCCATGCGACCTTGCAGTGCCCCGACCAGCCGGGCAACCTTCTCGGACAAGCTGCTGAGTGTGTTTGCGTGTTGATTTCCTCACTGACGTTCAGCAAACACCTACTGCCTGCCAAGCATGAGGGGGATGGAGGCTTCCAGATACTGTTCTTGCCCTTTCATTCCCACTCCTCCTCATCCTTCTTGTCTCCCCCCCAGATATGGGTAAGGCATCCAGCGATGGTCTGGCCTGGACTGGAAAGAGGGCACACAGCCAAATCCATCTCTCCCCTTCCTCAAACGCTGATTTCTGGAATCGGGACACTTGTAACTTTGGAAGCTATCTTAACTTATACTGTTTCTGGAAACATCCTTTCTTCTCCCCCATTTCTTACCTATCAAAATCATATTTATACTTCAAGGCCCAGTTCAAGTCCTACATCCTCTAAAAAATATCCCTTTTGGGTTATTTCAGGCCTTTTTGATTGAATCTTTCCATTTCTCTCAACCCCTTCGGTTCAGTCTAATGATCCTGTAATTATGCATTAAATTCAAATACTCATTCAGTTATTGTTCCACAAGCCCGAGTTGGGTTTCCCTAAAAAGATAATAAGTTTATTCCTATTTTATATCCCCAACAGCCTGCAGCCTAGTGCTGGGCATGCAGTAGGTACGCAATAAACTCTTGGTTGTTTGCCCATCCTGTGCTGAGCACTTGAGGTAGGGAATGCTCTTTCATTCATCTCTGCGTCCCCAGCACTTAGCACAATGTTTGGCACATGGTAGGCACTTGCAAAACTTAGTAAGTTGCAAAGGGTAATGTGTGTGAATGTGCCCTGGATGATGCCTAGCATACAACAGGTGCTCAATAAATGTTTATTGACTAAGAACTAGGGAAAGCATGGCAGAACTGCTGAGCATTTTACTGTGGTTGTGTCACTTCTAAAGACTTACCATTTCATTTAAGTTCTTTAAAATGGGTTTCTCCATGGGCTCAGCAAAGGAGTTGTACAGGACACTGAGGAAAAAAAGAGAAAGAAATGGGCTTATTCAGGAACTGTATCTGCCAGTCGTGAACCTCCTCAGGCCCTGCCGGAGAATCCAGCCCCAGACCAGCAACTGCCCAGCATGGCGCTACCACTCACCTGAGTTCTCCGGAAAATGACACATGGGCGTGGCTCACTTGGGCGTAACAGCGTTGGAGCTTCAGGATCGGGTGACCAAAGTCATTCCGGGCCAGGACAACGATACCGGTGAAGTAGACTCCAGAGAGAAACAGATCAGCTCTACCTGTGTCTTCACTGTTGAGAGGAAAAAGTGCAAGGTTACTGAGGCCTGGGCAGGGTTGAGATGGATCATTTCTCTGACTACCCACAGCCTCTAAGCTCCTGGAGGGCAGGAACTCTGTCACCTCTGGATTTCTGGCACCAACAAGAGGTAGGAACAGAGTAGGTGCTGAGCGTTTACCAGACAAATGAAGCAATGAGTATGTGGCTAGGTGAGAGCTTTAGCTTAGCATTTTTATCCTGAGTGCTCTGGCCCCCATAGTGGCTGAGCATGTATTAAGCACCAATCATATATGATGCTTATGTGGAGAGAGAACACGGGGTAGCCTTATTTAGGATGGGCACAGATGGGGACGGGACACTTAGATGCAGTCTGTGAACTCTTTGGGTACTGGAGTGTGTGTTGTTTGTCTCCACACCCCCAGGATGAGCACATAGTGTAAGCATGTAATTGTGGCTGATGAGTCAGCAAAGAAATGAATACCTGAATCTGTGTTATTTATGGGAGAATATATCATTTCTCTACAGTGTACAGGTCTGGAGTTCTTGAGATGGGGATAAATGGTACTTGGTTGGCACTCAATAAATGGTTGTTGAATGACCAAGTGGATGAGTGGATGTGCTTTCTGGGGAACCAACTGAGGCAGACCTAAACTTTATACCGAGGACAGTGACTTGCACGTAGAAGGTGGTCTGTAAGTGTGACTTGAATTTGATCCCTCATTTCTCTAGGAGGGTGCAAAAGCCTTTTGGTAGGGAGAGAATTGGGCTCCATCTGACTATTATCCTCTAATCTCCTTGTGAGGTAGGAAGGCCCCTTTCCTATCAGTTGCCCCTGAGGATGGGGAAGTATGTGGAATGGCCCAAGATCATACAGTGACTCACTGAAGGTCTAAAATGTTGAGCACCTGTCGGTTCCTCCAACAGTCAGGGACTTCCAGCTCTTAGGAAATCTTAAATGACATTTTGCTCTGCCTTTAAGGGAAGGATGATTTTCAGCCGTCCTCCTCCCCTGCCCACCCCCAGCAGAGATATCCTGATTTAAATCTCTCCTGGAAAAAAGTACTCTCGAGAAAGACTGTTAGTGGCTGAGGGAAAGAAGCCTAATGTCAAAAACATCAGCAAATTTATGGACTTTCAATTTTGGTTCCATTTCTCCCCAGAAGAGCCGCAGACAGCATTGAATGGAATACTCACAAGAGCGGAGACTTGATTTCCCAGTCGGTGCTGATGTTGGCAGTGCCATGGTTGGTCAGGGCCTTGATTCCCACCCCAGGCACAAAGGCTAATGACGTATTTGGAAATGAAAAGGCATTGATTTTTATGCTGTAAAACAAGAAACAGAGAGGTTAGCACATGTCTTCTAGCACATCTCTAAGTAAGGCAAAATCAGAAAGGAGGTTTGTGGAACTCCTGAAGGCAGCTGTGAATTCCTATGGAGGAAGGAACCTCAGGTCTGAGGTGCTGCCTCTGGGCACTGCCTTTTTTTTTTTTTGAATTCACGACCCTGAGATCAAGACCTGAGCTGAGATCTAGAGTCGGACGCTTAACTGACTGAGCCACCCAGGCACCTCTGGGCACTGCCTTCTAATGCCCCTTTAACCCTTACCAAGAACCCCTTGGTATCTGATTGAGGGGGAAATGAGCAAGTATAGAAACAGATTTGAAAATAATCAATTTTTCTAGTTTCGTTAAAGACAGTATGAGGTACAACACTGCCATCATGATTTTTCCCTTCAGCTGTTCCAGTGCTTCTCAATGGGGGGGGGGTGGATATTAGTATTTTGGATACGACAACTGTTTTGTGTACAGGGCTGCTACACACATTGCAGGGTACCTGGTGGGTATGTGCCAACTAAATGCCAGCAGTGCCCCTCCCCCATCATTGGGACAATCGCAAGGGTACCTTCCTTCTATTCTCAGATGCCCTCTATGTGGACAGTATCTTCCCTACTTCAGAAACTTAGAGTATTAATTTCCCCTAGGATTATCTGAGCTGTCAACAGGTAGGTAGGAGGCAATGGGCTGCCTGTAATTCTTATAGGTAGATGGCTCGTGTATTGAGTGATTACTTCCTGCCAGGCACTGTGGTGAGCACTTTACATGCATTAGATCATTTTAATCCTCACAATAATCCCATGAGGTTGTTGCTGGTTTTGCAATCTGCAATTCACAGATGAGAAGATAAGGAACGTGGTTGAAGTCATATATAAGTGGTAGAACCAGACCTGGAGCCCTCCTCAATCTGTCTTCAGACTGTGTTCTTAGCCAGTAGGCTATGCCACTTCATGTATTGTATTGTGCAAGGGGCACTTGACTTAGAGCTGAGTTTTGTGCTAGCCATGCAACCTTGGGTATGATACTTAACCTCTTTCAGTCACTCAAAGGAAGGGTTACTCATGGGCAGGTTGAAAAGACAAAATGAGGTCACCTGCGTATAACTGTGGCACGGGAGAAAGGCATTGTTATGAACTAAGATTAAGAAAAACGTAAAACGTAAATGTGATAGCTGATAACAAATGCTTATTTACTATTTCTTCTATTTTGCATCCTTTCCTACATGTTTTTGTCATACACCCTGAGTCCCACTGTGGGAAGAAGATGGTAGAGGTTCATTTAACAGATCTTGGAAATATTCTCAGTTTGATACATATAGGTCTAATGCATTCCTTGTATTTAAGCTATGGATGTATCATTAAAGAAAATCATTTCTTCGTTGCTGGACATCTAGGTCGTTTCCAGTTATTTCTGTATTATAAACAATGCCACACTGAACATCCTCATATATGCTGTTTATGTGTATGTCTTTCTAGTGAGGATGCTGAGAAGTGGGATTGGTAGGTCAAAGGGCATGCATTAAAAAAACAAAGTCCTTGTAAATAACTTTCTGAAATGGAACCGTCCAATAGAAATAGAACATGAGCCACATGCATAATTAAAAAATTTCTAGTGACCACATTTAAAAAAGGGAAAAGAAACAGGTGAGAGTGATTTTATTAATATTTTTTATTCAACCTGATACATCTAAAATAGTATCATTTCAACATATAATCAATATAAAAATTATTGATGGGATATTTTGTTTTCCCTTTTTCAAAATAAGTCTTCAAAATATGGTCTTTTTTTTCACATTCATAATATGACTCAGTCTGGACAGTGAATTTCATCAGAAATACTTGTCCTATATTTAGATCGGATAAAATTTTAAACTGAAAAGGTACACTTCCATACTCAAATTGTTCCACATATACTTAAAAGCCTTTTTTTAAAAAAGATTTTATTTATTTATTTGACACAGAGAGAGCACAAGCAGGGGGAGCTGCAGGCAGAGGGAGAGGGAGAAGCAGGCTCTCTATTGAGCAGACAGCCCGACAACGTGGGGATCAGTCCCAGGACCCTGGGATCATGACCTGAGCTGAAGGCAGATGCCCAACTGACTGAGCCACCCAGGTGCCCCAAAAGCTTTTCAAAAACTGAATTGAGTGAGTACCAGTTTTTGAATTAAAATTAATTAAAATTAAATAAGTAAAACTTCAGTGCCTTAGTCGCACTAGTCCCGTTTCCAGTGCTCGGTAGCCACACGTGGCGGGTGGCTCCTGTGTGGGCAGCACAGGTCAAAAAGTACTGTACCAGTTTCTCTACTCCCACTAGAAATCTTCACCTACCTTCATAATATATGTTTAACCCTGGATTTTTCTGCTGGGACATTATTGTCATTGTAATTAAATAATTCATTTTGTAAATATATAATGTCCATCTCTCTTATTGGACTTTAAGTACAGGGGACTATATCTGTGTCATTCACTACGATATCTCCTATGCCTGGAACAAAGCCTTGGTACCTAGTAGGTTCTCAATAAATACTTGTTGAATGGCTATCTTTATTAACAACTAGAGCATTTGCTAGGAGCTTTTCCTAGATCACCATTCTTCTCCCCACCCCCCAAACCTCCCCAAAACTCATGGTTTTATAGAATGGTATCCTTGATAGCAGGGAAATTATTGCTCCAAAGGGTTAGAGCAACAGGGAATTATCACTGGATTGATAAAGCCTTGGGGTCAAATTGTGAATCACGGATAATTCCTTATAAAATCTTGACTCTCTGCTTTACCTTCAAGATTTAGTGCAAGATGGACAAAGATGTCCTTTCCCTATACCGCCTTTGGGGCTTTTATTGGCAAATATGACAGGTTGCTGCTGTCTGAACATCCATTTCCCTTTCTTCTTTCCCAGACATCACTGAATTGGTTCAGGATGACAAAGATGTCTGCTTGGAAAATGAATTTTCCAGTCTCCCTTGCTAATAATAATAAGTATGGTCATAAGAGAGATCTGTCCATTATCGAGTACTAATAGAGCAGGGCTCCAGAAAAAAAAACTCACTGAAGAGACTAACCCAGCTTATAAGAGCCCTCTTAACTCCTTCTTGGGCCTGAAATATGGATTTGATGGCTGAGCTGCAGTGGCCATACTGGACCATAAGACAACCTTGAGGACAGAAGCCAGAACTGAGGACGGTAGGGGAGAGAGATACAAAAAGGCTGGGTTCAGATAAAATTGTGGGGCTTCCATAGGATCCCTCTACCCTTTCTTTTTCTTTTTTCTTTTTTTTTTCTTTTTTTTGTGGGGCTTGAACTCATGACCCTGAAATCAAGATCTGAGCGGAGATCAAGAGTCAGACGCTTAACTGACTGAGCCACCCAGGTGCCCCTCTACTCTTTCTTTTGAGCTTCTTAATTGTGGCCCATTTCTATGACTTTTAAAATCTCAACTAAACTTCATTAAAATAAGGAAAGACGTGATGAGGGTAGATTTGTTTCTGAGACTGTGACTGAATCCTGCATCTAGGTTTAGGGTGTGGGGGCAACAATGGGATGGACAAAAATTTCTCTTAGAATTCAAGGGGCAAGGAATTCTCATTTTAGGGAAGAGGCAAGGACATCGAGACTCTGAACAGATTCCCCAGGTGCATACAACTAGTGTGTAGCAGGGATAGGACTTGGACCCAGGTGTTCTGACCCCAATCCTACACTCTTTGTCAGCTTTATGACCCTGTTTCTTGAGGTCATTCATCTGATAAGCCCCTTACCAAAGATTAACTTTGGGTTAACTTCTACTCTGCAGGTCCCTGGTGTTACACCAGAACACAGGGTGACATATCCACAACTCTAAGGTTTTAAAGAGTAATTTCACTGCTAAAAATATTCTTCTACTTACTTTGAAAAATTGTAGTTCACATAATCAACCTTCAGAAATTCCAGAGATTCAGAACCTTCTAGGTCTGGGATATTTTTTTCCTTAACCATTTGCTCAATCATCTCCCTCCCAGCTAGAACGCCTATGAAGGAACCAAAGAGAGCGTTTATTGATAATGACGAAGATGATAATGGCATAGCATTATTAGACATACACATGAAGTTTACTGAGCAAGGCATGCTCTTAGAAACTTAGAAAGCAGCAACCCTACAAAGTGGTGCTATTGTCCCTGTTTCACAGAAGAAAACACTGGTCCTCAGAGAGGCTAATGAAGACCCCAGGACCCCAGGACTAACAGCACGAGAGATTCTCATTATGTGGCCAAGGCTAAAGGATACTACTACACGGTGTTGTGATAGGAGAAGTACAAAGTATTATCATTATCCACATTTTACAGATGAACAAACTGAACTTCAAAGAGATGGATTCTCACCTAAGTCACATGGCAAAGAACTGGAGGCCCCATAGTCAAATCTGGGCAATTTGGCTCCAGAATCCATGCCTTATTAGAAAGTTATTCCACATTCTCCCCTTTCCCCTAGATTCTTTAGTTTTTTTTAAGATTTTATCTATTTATTAGAGAGAGAGAGCGCGAGCACATGAGTAGGGGGAGGGACAGAGGGAGAAGCAGACTCCCCCTGAGCAGGGAGCCCGACGTGAGGCTCAATTCCAGGACCCCAAGATTACGACCTGAGCCAAAGCAGACCCCCAACTGATTGAGCCACCCACGCGCCCCTCCCCTAGATTCTTTAAGCTCAGCAATTTTTGGCCTGAGGTAAATGGACTGTTGGGCACTCTTAACCCTACTGAAATCCTAGTAAAAGACTGTGAGTAGGATGTGTGTATGCATGTGCATTTGTGTCTCATTGTTCAGGGGAGAGGGGCCACAACTGCATCAGATTCTCAAAGGATCCCAGGACTCCAAAAAGGTTAGTAAGCCCCACTTTTGTGCAATTCAGGAATAAATCTGTCTTTATGTGATAACACCACAGGACACATTTTTCTGAGTTCACGGAGAAAAAGAGCCCTCCTTCACATAAAGAGCTTGAGAAAAGTAACTGACATAGTAATGAAGAATGATCTTTCCATTTTAACCTTCTTAAGGAGGAAGCTTTGCCTTTACCCCCTATTTTGCAGCTTAAGCTCATTTCCACTTAGGCTATCCCTGTGGAGATTCAGAGAAGATCTTATCCTCTATAATACCATGAATAATATTATAATACAGGGATGCAGGGATAGGATGTAAAGGATATAAAGATGGAACCAAAGGCACTATCAGACAGCTTAGTTTCGAATCCCAATGCTGTCATGAAATAATGATAACTGTGTGCCTGTGTGGGCCAGGACTGTCTACACTTTACACGTATTCTAACCTTTGATCCTCAGAGCAACCCAGTGACATAGGTATTATTATTCCTATTTCACACAGGAGGCAGTTGAGGCTCAGAGAGTTTCCTGGACTTGCACAAGAGCTCACAGCTACTGCGTGTCATCAGTGAGGCTTTGGAGGAACGGGGAGCAGAGAACAGAAATCAGGCAGAGCAGACCTGAACTCCGATCTTGCCTCGCCCCCTTACTGGTGTGTGATGTGGCAAATTCAGTCCAGCCCCTCTGAGACTCAGATTCCTCCTCTGTAAAATGACTATCCCTTCTTTGTAGGGTTGTTGTGGGAATTAAATCAACCCAGAGCCCATAGGCACATATCAAAGAGTGTGGCCATGGTAGATGCTCAATCAAGGCATGGTTCTGACTTTATAGTGTGTCCTTCCCCACCACCCCATGCATATCTCTACAGATGATTCCATCTGGTCCTCACATCATGATAGGGGGCACATTATTGTCATTCTCCTCACCCTGTTTTCCAGATGAGAAAACCCACTGGCCCAACCCTACATATTGAGGAAAGGGGCAGAACTGAGATTCATACCCACGTGAACTGACTAGATCTGTTCTTTATTTATTTATTTATTTATTTTTTTAAAAGATTTTATTTATTTATTTGAGAGAGAGAGAATGAGAGAGAGAAAGCACATGAGACGGGGGAGGGTCAGAGGGAGAAGCAGACTCCCTGCTGAGCAGGGAGCCCGATGCGGGACTCGATCCTGGGACTCCAGGATCATGACCTGAGCCAAAGGCAGTCGCTTAACCAACTGAGCCACCCAGGCGCCCCTAGATCTGTTCTTTAAATTGCTCTGATCTTGAGGGTGGAATAAGCTATTCTCACAACTTTAATACTATTACAAGATGTCTATTTCTGATATGTATTTCTGTGCATATAAGCATATCAATATAGTAACGAGATACACACACATGCAAATATACATGTGGATACACATGTGCATTCCTGGTATGTATTTCTCATTATAGCCAGCTCATATGACAATTGTGCAAGATGGATCAACTTTAGATTCCCTGTACCACAAGAGGAACTGGGGGAAGGACAAAGAGTTGCCCAAAACTCAGTCTTCCCTTCCTCCATCCCTCCCTTCCTTTCCCTCCATCCTTTTTCTTTTTTGGTGTAGCAGGTGAGGCGTTTCCTGGTCACACTTAGGCATTTCTGAGTTAGACTAGCAGTACTTGAGTTGATTGCTTTAGTTAAGAAGGGATTGGAGTAAATCTATCTGCCTGTATTCTGTAATCTTGGGCCAAGATTTACAGGAGAGAACTAGGCTCGCACACTTTGATTTTGCAGTTTCTTTCCCATACGCAATCTGCCCTCACCCCAGCTCTGCTCCACATTTTTCTCTCCCTGTGTTTATAAACACCTCTAAAGGAGTTTATCTTAATCTTTCAGTGTCTTAGGCTCCTTTTTGCATCTAATGAATGTATAGAGCCTCTCAAGAAAAATGCACAAACATCATCTACATTAAATTTGGCACACAATTTTAGGGGACTCTAAGTTCCTTTTGGAGTTAAGCCCTTTCTGAAGTTCTAAGGTGTTACTTTTACTCCCACATCTCCTCCCCTCTAGCCTATGACATATCCTCCTTTAGAGTAGAGGTGTTTGTTGTAGGTGCATGAGGGGGTACAGGTGGCAGGGGGCAGGGAGAGAATGAATATCTGTGGCCGTGTTTGGACAGGCCTACCATCAAGTTGATTATTTTTTAGAAACACTTCCTTCCCGGCCATCTTAGCAGCCTCCGCATAAGGGGCTGGATCATCCCACAGGAGAGCTTGCCTTAGTCATGAGACGGTCCAATATGAGCTTGGGTCATAAACTCCACCTGTAGCCTGGCTTCTGGAAGCATTCAACTCACCATAGTCCAGAGCCCGCTGAGTAACCCTGGCCTTGATTCCAGGGTAAACGGTCTGGGCAGATGAGATGTAGAGATCCGACAGGAAGAAACATCCCCAGAGGACTTGGACTGCCTTTGTACGCATCTGCAATTAACCAACATTTTTGGTTCCTTTATTATTTTTGACTTTTCATTGGTCAATTCCATCCAGCTTTTCTATGATTTCTTATTTCATTGCTTACTTTTAGAACTCACTCTATCCACCCGTCTGTTGATATATCCATCCATCCATCCAACCATCAATCCATCCACCTATCCAGTAATCATTTATTGAACACACCAGAAATGTGCTAGGTGCTGAGGATGCAGAGATGACCTGTGTGTCCTTGACTTCTGTTTCTCACAGACTAGTGGGTGAGTCAGACACACATACAGATGATTATGACTCAGTACAGTACAATGCAGTGCGATGTAACACAAGAGCCTTACTGTAAATGTAACACTTGTGATATGCCTTGGGAAGGATAAGGGGGTGGGGATGCCAAATTTTTGAAAGTTTTAGAACACAAGTCAGTAGTTTAGAAAGGTGGCTTCAGAGAATGTGAGACAATCACTCATCTGCTTAGACACTTAATGACTCCCCTTTGCCCATAGGACAGGGTTTAAGCTCACAGCCCAGCTGTAAGACCCTGCCCTGCTCTACACTTCTACCACCTCAAAGACTTCCTTCCTTAACACACATGCCAGGCTCACCCCAGAATCTAGTATAATGCCTGGCACACAGTAGATACACACAAAATCTGAAATAAATATCTCCAAGGAGAGGGACCACATCTTTTTTGCTGTTACATTGCTAGTGCTTGGCATATATTAAATATTCAATGTATACTTATTTAATTAATGGACTCAATGAATTAATGCCAGCCTATTTTCTTTTCTTTTCCTCCCTCCCTCTTTCTTTTTTTTAAAGATTTTTTTTATTTTTTATTTTTTAAAGATTTTATTTATTTATTTGACAGAGACACAATGAGAGATGGAACACAAGCAGGGGTAGTGGGAGAGGGAGAAACAGGCTTCCCACGGAGCAGGGAGCCCGATGCGGGGCTGGATCCCAGGACCCTGGGACCATGACCTGAGCCGAAGGCAGACGCTTGACAACTGAGCCACCCAGGTGCCTCTCTTTCTCTCTCTCTTTCATTCTTTCTTTCTTTCTTAGTAGGCTCCACACCCAACATGGAGCCCAGTGTGGGGCTTAAACTCACGACCCTGAGATTGAGACCTGAGCTGAGATCAAAAGTTTGATACTTAACTGACTGAGCCACCCGGGTGCCCCCCAGCCCATTTTCTTGATGAATGAAGCACAGGTTACCAATAGCAACAGTGACATGGGTTTCTTTTAATGACAGCTGAGCGAGTACTACATTCACAGGCCTTGTTTCTAGTTCTGGCAGTTTACAATCTGGGTGAGCTACCATTGCTGCGTTCATATGTGCCAAAGACCCACAGGTGACAGATACCCACTGAGTTAACATACAAACATGAAACAAATCAGGGAAGCATTTGTGGGGGTGGTCAAGGAAGAGGAAGTTGTGGGAGCCATGCAAAGGGTGGGGTCAGGCCAGGTAGAGCAGGGAAGGATTCAGAGAAGGGCTGGGATTTAGGCACAGTCTGGATGAAGGAAAAGATCATTGCAAGAGGAGTGTATGCGGTGCTTGGCCAAGAAAAGAAAGAGGTTTGATAAAGGGGATTGTGTGGGCTTTGTGGATAAGGCCAAAGATGTAGACAACAGTGTGTTCCAGAGAATTTACTTGAGAGGAAGAGAACAGTCTGACCAGGGAGAGGAGTATCCATGCAGGGCTGTTGCTAGCCTATCTTGGCCTTTTGTATGGAATGGGAGAAGGTGCCCTTTGGAGATATACCAGTCTTCTGGAACAAAGTGGGGCAAGCAGAAAATGTTTTAGGAAAATCCCAGACCAGTGTGTCCAGCTTGGTAGGTAGAGCCAGGGCCGCCCCACTCACCCCTTGGGCTAGCATTTTTTTTATTTTTAGATTTTACTTATTTATTTTAGCAAGAGAGAGCGAGCGAGCATGGAGCCTGACACAGGGCTCGATCCTATGACCCCGAGATCATGGCCTGAGCCAAAACCAAGACTAGGATGCTTAACCAACTGAGCCACCCAGGTGCCCCATGGGCTGGCATTTTGTGTGGTGTACACGTTGCCCAATTTTTAGGGGGGCCTATGTTCAGATTAGTGAATGTTCATGTGGGTATTTTGCTGGAAGGCCATGAGGTTGAGAATTGGGGTCATGACCTGTCTGTTCTGTGGTGCATATGTCCACCTTCAGGTGTGAGAAGCGGCTGGCTCAGTCAACTTGCTTATATATCTCATCTGATCTCCCAAGAGTCCTCTGTCCAGACAAATTGGACTCCTGGTCCCTAAACACTCACCATGTTTCCTGCCTAATATCTGTGCTTATGCTGTTCGTCTTCACCTAGGCCTGCAGAAACCCTGTACATCCTTAAGCTTCATTTTATTTTATTTTTTAAGATTTTATTTATTTATTTGAGAGAGAGAATGAGAGACAGAGAGCATGAGAGAGAAGAGGGTGAGAAGGAGAAGCAGACTCTCTGCTGAGCAGGGAGCCCGATGTGGGACTCGATCCCGGGACTCCAGGATCATGACCTGAGCCGAAGGCAGTCGCCCAACCAACTGAGCCACCCAGGCGCCCCTTAAGCTTCATTTTAAATACAGCCTTCTTTCTGAAGCCATTTCTGACTTCCCTAAATTAATCTCATTTCCTTCTGAATCCTTGGTCAAAATAGATATTTATTCATGTGTGTATATTTATTTTCTCACGTGCCATCTCCTCTGTGAGAATGTAAGTGCCATGAAGGCAGAGACTTCATTTGGTTTGGAGGTCCTAGAGCCTGGCTTAGTGTCTCGGACATAGAGTGATTGGTAAGTATTGGTAGAATGAATTGTAAATGAAGGAAGAACCCTTACCTCACTCTGCATTATATTACAGTTCTTTGCAGAGGTGATTAACAAAGCATTTGTACACTGGTGGAGTGCATGCACCCACTAGAACAGATGTTGGCCACAGTCCAGGAGCAGGGTTGGGGAGGTTAGGTACTGGATCATGGGGACAGGAGAAGTCTTGGGAGGACCGGCCAGTGTGGCTGGGGTACTGGGATAGGGTGGGAGACTCAGAGTAGTGATTATTTACTATTGGAAACGGAGACATTTTAATATCTTAACATTGCTATGGCCTTAGCATTCAGTATGATGTTTCAGCCCTACAGAGTTGGTTTGGGTTATACTGGACAATGTACAGAAAGAACCTGGGCAGCAGTGTTGGGGCAGGGCTATGGAGGGGTGGCTTGGGAATGGTTGGGTGCAGAGGACACCAAGGGAAGTGTAGAGCAATGACAATAAGAGCCAAGGGGGCAAAACTTGGTTAGGAGACCCATCTCTGGTCAGGCAGCAAGTGATCTGAGGGTTGGAGGAAATGTGAGGAGTGGGACAAGCAGTGAGGGGCAGGGTGATATTAATATCTTATAGTCAGAATGGATGCAGAAGCTAGGCCCCGTTGCCATCTGTGCTAGGCCCTCCTTGATCCTGTTGTCCTGGGTTGGAGGTGGTGGTCAAGGGGTCCTGGAGAGGGGGATAGGAAGAAATGGATGAAACTATAGGAGTCAGGGCAACACTCCTGGGGCTGAGATTAGTGGCTATTCACCAATTGGTATAAAAGTATGTCCACATTTTAACAAACAGTGAGGCCATACTGATGTGCAGTCACACTGAATTGCTGTGGGAAAAGAATTGTAAATGGATGTCTCATGCCAAGACAGGCATGAGAAGGATTTTTTTTAGAAGAGGAAAACATTTTCATAACAGTGCAATGCAATGGGAAAAAATATTAGATCAAAAAGTCTATACACATTAGACTGTATCCAAATTAAGGTTGAAATTATCTCTCTGCCTGGCACGTAGTTAGGACTTCAAGAAGTATTAGCTACCTGACAAACTGACTGGCTTATAAGATTCTGGTTAACTAAGAAAGGTTCTAGAAAACTATGAAAAAAAAGGAGAAAACCAAACTATCATATAAATAAGTCTCCATTTCTACAGTGAAAAAGCATAATAAACCAAATCAGAGCTATTACTTGTTAATGGAGTAACAATTAAAATAATGAATTTGTGTGTGTGTGTGTGTGTGTGTATATATATATATATATTTTTTTTTACCATTACACAGCTCACAACTATCCTTGGAGGTGGATGTTACTATAATCCTCCCTCCCTCCCAGGCATGTGAACACAGAGACTTGGAGAGTCTGAATGACCTGTCTGAGACCACATGGTAAGTCAGGCACCTGGGAACCACACCTTGCTCTTCTGGTTCCCAATTCTAGTGTTTATGAATTTAATTACTTGATAAGTGCTAGATTTTTCATTTTCATCTGGGAACTTTAGGAGATACTTGATGCTATCTTCTATGTGGAAAAAAAATCTAAGCATCTGGATATTTTCAAGTGTCAAAGTGCAAATCCTTTCATATTTTCTTGGGCACAGATGGAATTTTAAATGCCCTTCCAGCAGTAAAAATCTATTTTCCCTTCTTGGGTAAAAGAAGTTTCTGAAATGGTTTACACTGATGGAGATCCAGGAACTCAAAGTTGCACATGTAAAAACATATTTTTCCTCTAGAAATTTTATGAGTGAATGAAATTATGGGGCTATAAAAGGATTGTACGTAACTTTCAGTTGAATTGTTTGTTAGGATGATAATTTATGGGCAGAGGAAGGAAGGAACCTTGTCAAGCAAGGAGCTGAGTCCTTAAAGGTTAAGTAATTTGGCTGAAAAGAAAGGGCAGGAGGAGTTGCCTGCTAAAACAAGGGATCCAAGATGACTTAAAAACCCTGCCAACAAGTTACCTATTTTGTTGCATCTAAGGAATTGTTTCTTTCCATGATTCAAAGCCTCAGAAGTCATTACATTTCCATACCAATAAATGGACAGAATAACACTTCTAAATTAGATGGCTCTACCATAACAACATTTTTCTAGATATGTCTCTTGAGGCAAGGGAAACAAAAGCAAAAATAAATTATTGGGACTTCATCAAAATAAAAAGCTTCT